TGTTGGGTGCCTTTCGTGTAAAGGGAAGCCAAGGAGACGCCATGCTACCTCGTTACTGCTGACATAACGCCCTGCTTGAAAGGTCTGTACTTCATTAACGGGATTTGCCTCACCTTCACTCATGAGATTAAATATTACTTGGTCGCTTCCTTATTTATGTACTTACAGATATACTTGATTGCGCGGACAGAGCTACATGCTTCTACATTAATGTGGGCATTAAACATTTTACATAGAATGGGCGAATACGGGACAATCTAGCTGTTATCTAAGGTTTCGAACGCTCCAGAGCGAGATTTGATTGTAACTTTGCTGCCACCATCTTCGTGAGCTCTGCGTCTGTATAAAGGGTAGCAATTGTCATTGTGCACTGTGTCTTTTAATAGCTATTTAGGGAATTTCTTTGTAGCATCGATTAAGGCCGTTAAATACCAACTAAGCGATATATGTAATGCTCTAAAGAATTTAGCAGATAATGCAATATATTGTCATTTGGTCAGTGAATGCCATTCTACAGAAAAGGAAATAACGAATATGTAGTTTCACTTGTCGTATGGTATGACATTCTTACAAAGATAAACAATCGAAGGTGAGTGATGTACTCGCCATTTATGTTAACACACACACAACACTTCGATATACCGATAGACAATTTGGCACCGCTGAAGGGACTGTATCATCGCCCAAATTTTGAAGACCTCAAAGGCTTTCTGATAGTCCCCATACGCCAGGTAAAGTGGCGGATTGTACTCCTCGGTCTTCTGTACAATCTGCCGCAGGGTATGTCTATGGTACTGAATCCTTTTCGGAAACCAGCTCATTCGGGACGCTGTAAGTTGTCGAGACTGCGTGTGAGACGATTCATAATGACTCTCGAAAACAGCACGTGGACGCGGCGAGAAGGAAAAACGGGTCTGAAGTTCTTTAAGAGAGCGTTGTCACCTTTCTTGAAGAACAACACCACCGCACTTCAAATTCAAATTCCTTCAAATTCAAATTCATTTATTAATTTCCAGAATGTAGTACATAATATTATGATGATTTTATTTATTAATGAGATCTTACATTCTACCATTATATTGGCGTGCAATATCTTTACAATATACAAAAAATATAATTGAAATATTATGAGGTTAAATTATTGAAGAAAAACAATGATTTGATCTTTTAAAAATATTTTAGCACCAAATTTTTAAATTACCATAAATATATGTCAAAATTTAATTAATTATGCAAATGATTACATACAAATGTCGAGTATCTAAAAAAATTAAAAAATTTCAAAAAATAAAATAAATATTAAATGTCAAAAAAAATTAATCAGTTTTTCCATTATTACTATTATTGTAGATTTATTTATAAGTCAAATATTCGTCTACACTATAAAAACATTTTGTTTCCAGCCATTCTGTGAGTTTCCTTTTAAAAATAACGAAAGGTAGGTCTTTGAATGTGTTAGGCAATTTATTGTAAACTCTAAAGTCATTTATAAATACATTTCTTTTATATATATCAAGTCTGCATTGAGGTAGATATAGCTTAAATTTATTTCTTGGTATGGCACTTCTACTGACTAAACTTGAGTTAATGATGAAATATTGTGGATGATTTTTGAAAAAAACACAAAGTTCCCGTATATACATACAAGCTAGAGGCAGTATGTGAAATTTGTGAAATAAAGGCTTGCAACTGTCTAAAGACCAAGCTCCACAAACGACCCTTACACACTTATTTTGAATACGAAAGGCCTTGCCAACCTCAACCGAGTTGCTCCACAACAAGGGGCCGTATGAAAGCACTGAAGAGACATAGCCGAAATAAGCACTCAGCGCCGCTTCAGTAGATACTGTCAACCGTAGCTGTTTTATAGCATAAACAAATCTCTCAAGTTTATCGCATACGTACTCTATATGAGTTTTCCAGTCATAGTGCATGTCAACCATTAATCCTTAAAATTTTGTAGGGTGGACTTCTTCAATTTTTATATTATTATAACAAATATTCAGTCCAATAGGTGGAGTTCTATAATCTCTAAAGTGTATCATTTTGGTTTTATTTAAGTTTATTTTTAGATTGTTACTTTTGAGCCATCTAAAGATTTTGTCGGTGTCGACTTTCATAGAATTTTCTATTCTTACATTTAATAATTACAGTAGTATCATCCGCAAACAGAACAGTTTCGTGGTCAGTGACGTTTGGAAGATCATTGATGTATATTAGAAATAAAAAGGGTCCTAACACACTTCCCTGTGGGACACCGTATTTATTATTTTGTAACCGAGACCTGCTTGTAATTTTATTGCCCTTTTGAATTTTAGTAACCTCTACGCATTGTTCACGACCAGTCAGATAACTCTTCAGCCAGTCATGTGCTTTTCCCCTGATTCCGTATTTTTCAAGCTTTTATAATAATAATGTATGGTCTACGAAATCGAAAGCTTTAGTCATATCTAGGAAGATTGCACTTACCAGTGCCCTTTCATTAATGGCCTCTGTTATATATTTTTTTAATTAAAGCATGCTAATATCGTGTTACTATTTTTTCTAAACGCAAGCTGCTCATGTTTAATAATATTTTGATCTGTAACGTAATCGTAAAGTCTTTTCATCATTACCTTTTCAAATATTTTAGATTAAACTGGTATTAAAGTGATTGGGCGATAACAATTCATATCTGTAGCCTCTCCCTTCTTAAATAATAGTTTGACGATTGATTTTTTTAAAATTTCAGGGAAAGTACCTTCCTCAAGCGACATATTTATAATGTAGCTCAATGGTCCACTTATATACTTAGCACAGGCTTTGATTATTTTTGTATTTATATTATCTAATCCTACTGAATTAGTATTATTAAGTCCTTTAATTATATTATTTATTTCAATTTCATCTGTCGGTTTTAAAAATATTGTGTTTAAATAATTGATATTCATAGTAGTATTTATGTCCTCTATTTTAAAATTAACATCATTTGTATTGGTCGTGTCTATATAAATATTATTAAAAGCTTCACTAATGTCATTTGGTTCAGAATATATTTCGTTGTTATTTATAATAGTATCTATTTGGAAATTTACACTTATTTTACCAATATTCGCATTTATAACCTCCCAAACTGCTTTGCATTTATTTTTATGCCTATCTATATACTTTCTATTTTGTAATTGTAACGATTTATGTCTACATTATTTTATGATTTATGTTTACACCTGTCCGTGTTTATTTTAAGTATAGTTTTCTTTTTTATTATACAAGACTTTCTTAATCCTTTTGCTAACCAAGAGGTTTTGCTAATTTTGTTAGTTTTTTTACGATTATTACAGGAAAGTATAGATTAAGAAACAGTTTAAATAAATGATGAAACTCTCGAAAAACGTCATTTAAGCATGATTGTTCGTAAACATCAGAAAAAGTGATAGTGAGGATATAAGTGAAGATATGCAGCTACAAAATTTATTAATATTATTTTCACTAAAATCTCGAGCTTGTTCTAACCACTTAATAAAATCTCGTTTTTTACTCGCCTGTATTTTAAGAGTTTGACCCGTCTCAAGGTCAGACAAACCTAAGTAGTGGACCTCAGCTCGTATTTGTCTTATATTACTTGCAAATTGATAGATACATTTTGTTTGTCGAGTAGGTGACTTAATATGCATTTCCATATTAAAGTTTTTTAATAAATTTATCAAATATTGATAATTTTATTGGGTCTTAGAATGTCAAAGTTCCAATCTCCACACAATATTATTTTTTTGGATCTGTTACAAATTTTCAACAAAAATTGTTCCAGTGTGTCAATAAAAATTTGGGGATTACTATTAGGGGTTCTATATATACATATTATGAAGATTTTTTGTGATGTGAGCTCTATACCAGCACCTTCAAAATTAAAATTGCATGCCAAATCACTAAAAATGCTCAGGGTTTTACATTCTATACTAGTTTTAGCTAGGATACAAGAACCCCCACTTTTAGAGTTACGGGAGTACGTTGAGACGACTCTACACCCTGGTATCTTCAGAAGCTGTTCCATATCTTTTTTATAAACGTTTCAGTCAAGCATACTATGTCTATTTCTTTATTATTTTGTAAAAATTCTGAAAGTACAGCTATAATTTCTTGGGACTTATTTATGTCACCAGCAATGTTTTGGTGAAGTATGGTTAAGTTATAAAATTTATATTTATTGACGAAAAAACTTTTTATTTTCGCTATAACTATTCCTATTCAATATGTTTTTTTAAAGTAGTAAGGTATTGTACCTTTTTTATAGGGCATACCTTTGTTCTCCATTTTCTCGGTTATCTGGTTCAGACTATGTTGTAATTGTTGTGGCTCATTACTATTCTTACTCACGAAAAACTGTTCTTTGTCTTTATTAGATAAAACCAAAGAATTATTTACAGAACAATTTTTATTTGAGACTGCTGAAAAATAAAAAGGTATTGTGCCTTTACGAGGTTTAAGTTTACATGGCAAGATCGTAGTCGAAAGACTCTTGGAGTCTAGGAAAATGTAGTGCTTTAAAGTGTTAAAAATGTTTTTCATGCCATGTCTATTCAGTACTCCACTTTGTTTATAAAACATTGTGCTGTCGTATTTTAGAATTAAATTGGAATCAAATTATTATTTAAATATAATTATGCAATATTTTGCATAATTATATTTACAGATGTCGTGGCATAATAAGGTATTAAAAGTCTCAACCCTTGAGTTAAAAATATTGTTATAACCATTGAATTTATAGGTAGGCAAACACAATACTAGGTTAGTGTAGCTAATTGATATTAATATTTCGCGTATACTTATAACTAGATCATAATAATTTACAGTTGTCTCAAAGTCATGTTCTCCTATAAAAATCTAACAGTAGTCATGTTTATTGAAGTTGATAAGCTTGTTGTTAATATTATCGAGTAGCTGTTTAATTCCACAGTTTGTTGAAATATAATGGCACACATCATAATGTGGAAACGTATTTAGCGCTAAGGTAAGAATATTATTTACTTTGTTACTACTAATAATACAAAGTTTTGGACTTGGGCGATTAAATGATATCTGACCAGAATTAAATTGGGAGTGTGTACCTCTGGTTGTAGAACGTTGTTTACTACTTTGGGCTTTACATATAAAGATGTGCAGCAATTTCCGTTCTCCCGTAAAGTGTCGGTTGAAGTACAGGTGGCGCCATCTATTGGCGGGTCACTGGTTAATGTATTCTGCTCAAGATCGATCAGACTCGTGTTGTCTTCTTCTCTCAAGGTTCTTGACATTTTCTTCCTTGGCGTTGTTGCTCTCGTCCTAGGTTCTGAACAAATTCTATGATACATTTGTAATTTAAGTTTTTGTTTATTTAAAGCGTCTTTTAACGACAAGTTCTCTTCGCTAAGTTTTACTATTTCTAAATGAGCGCTTTCGAGTTCGTTTCTAAGTAGTAATAATTCATTCTTCAAGTCTTCTTCTTCACTGTCATATCCAGTAGACAGGTCCGGTAAACTATGTCTTCTTACCTCTGAATTTGTAGATTCAAAAGAGAGATCAAATGATTCGTTCAACGATGTTTTATGCCGACGACGTATTGTAACATTTTCATCTGCCATTATAATTCCTTAATAATGTTGTATTATCGATATAATATTTAAAGAATGGGCAATAACAAGACAGTAACGCCCCCTGTCGTTTACAGTAGACAATTTCTATGTAAAGTAATTTAGTTCAAGTCACAATTTGACGGCAGATGTTGTTTATTTTTACAAAGATATTGCTTATAGGAAACATTTACCAAAAGAACTTTACCGTATCGGGATTGAACTTAAGATTATCCGACTGCGGTAATTTGCAATAAGCAAGCGATGCCTCTGCGCCACGATGTTACTATGACATGTGTTGAAATTACGAAATAGCTCCTATGATTTCTTTAATGACCGTTAATTAGTTTCAATTTGAATTTTGTAATTGTTGTCATTCACGATGTTATTTTCACAATACTTCACTATTCTAACAATAAGTTATACACTGCTTAGTTTTGATGCGTATATTCACTATTTTAAAGACGTATTTGATATTGATCACTCAAATGATAAGTTATTTTTAGTTTTGTTGTTGTTTATTAAACGTTTTGAAGTCACTTCTTCTTGATATTTAGCTTACACAACATTTGTACATCCAAATTGGCACTTTAATTTCTTATTTTATTATAAATTACGAGTTATTACGAAAGAAAACTATTTATAATTATTTTTAATAAGTGAAGCACTTGTTTACGCGGCTAGTAGCGCCATCTCCCTCTTTTGGAATTCTGCTCCACGCCTCCGAAGTAGTGCCACCACGGAGAAAGGAATTGAAGAGCTTCTGAAGGACTTTAAGTACCGGTGTTCCACCCAATTTCAGAAGCTCTATTGTAATTCAATCCTCGCCTTGCCGTTTTTAAGGTGCTGGAGTGACATTCTAATTTCGCTCAGATTGTCCGTCCGGGATATTATCGGAATAGTGTCGGATAAGACTTTCTCTTGGATTGTTATTCACACTTGCATGTGGTTCCAACGATGATGTGTACAGCTGCCTATAGAACCTCTTAATCTCACTCAAAATATCAAGTGTCCCAGAAATTATGCTGCCACACTCGGTCTTCATTTGCTCTTTATGGCAGATAGATCTCTGACAAACACTTTGGAGCCCTGGTTTCGCTCGATCGCTTCTTCAATACGAGCTGTATTGAAGTTGCGCCAGTCCAGCCGCATGTATTTGAAATGATTATTGGATCTGTCTGTTCAGTTGCCTGTATGCTGTCAAATTTGTTGAAGACTGCAGTTTCATTTCCCTTCTAACAGCCATGAGATTAAGAGTGTAATAGGATAGTTTTTGTGTTCTTCTGCAGCGGGTCTTGCAGAACTTAGATCCGATCGCATGGACAGTTTCCACGGGCTTGTCATTCATATCACACAAATGGTTTTGTAACACGAGCTGAAAGGTTTCGAGACTTTGGATTAGAGCACGAGGGGGACGGGGTGTTGACTTCATTGGACGAGACCTTTCCAGCTTAACGTTAAGGTTTAGTGTGCCTCTAACCATTCGGTGATCGTATTTGATATTGATCACTCAAATGATAAGTTATTTTTAGTTTTGTTGTTGTTTATTAAACCTTTTGAAGTCACTTCTTCTTGATATTTAGCTTACACAACATTTGTACATCCAAATTCACCCTTGCGATCACTAAGACATCACTGAACAGTTGCCGTCTAGTCGTCATAATGAAGTCAATCTCATTTTTTGTTGAACCGTCGGGGCTCGACCAGGATCACTTTCTGTGGGGCCGCTTCTGAAAGAAAGAGTTCATCATAAAGAGTCCCTCTTTCTGCATGAAGTCGGCCAGCTGCTGGCCCCTTGAGTTACGTTGCCCTATTCCCACCGCTTTTTATTGTGCCTAGTTTTTCGTTAAAGTCTCCCATTAACACCATATAGTGGGTTTTGAAGGAATGCATGGCTCTAGAAATATCCTCATACATATCATTTACTTCCTCATCGGGATGTGCCGACCTTGGTGAGTAAACCTATATGACCTTCAGCGAATACCGTTTGGTGATTCTGAGTATAAGGTACACAACCTTTGTCGGCACACTCCCAATCCTTACAACGTTGTTAACCAGAGGCTTGTTAACAATAAATCCAATACCTCCTTGGGACAGATGGTCGCCCTTCCGGTTATAGAACAAGTTGCCGGATTCGAGAATCACCGTGTGCCCCTCTCTTCGGACCTTGAATTATCCTATAATATTCCAGCGCATTTGCCGTGTAGTGGCGGTTAAGAATATCCACTACCCCATATCTTCCCGTGGGTGTCGTAAGAGGCGACAGAGGGAGACAGGCAGGAGATGGGCAGCAGCGTCTTCCTGATGACAACTGTGACGTAATAAAAAACTGCGGTTGCCAACCCGCTCGCCAAGCGTGGCAACTATGGCAAATACCCCCCAATGAATAAATACACAAACAGACGGCCCCCAGTCCCCGGCGGCCCCGCTATTCCTGGCTACGGTGGCGACCATGGTAACGGCGGGGCAGGGGGTGCTAAGAATCTCCGGTGGAGGTTCGGTTGCCACCTACGACGACTCGACCTGGCAACATATAACGCACGCACCCTGAGGACTGACGAGAAGATACTGGAGCTGGAAGAAGAGGTAGACAAGTTGCGCTGGCATATTATTGGATTATCCGAGGTCCGAAGAGAGGGGGAGGACACGGCAATCCTCGAGTCCGGCAACTTGTTCTATCACCGGGAGGGCGACCATCTGTCCCAAGGAGGTGTCGGATTTATCGTCCACAAATCTCTCGTCAACAACGTTGTAAAGATTGGGAGTGTGTCGACGAGGGTCGCGTACCTGATACTCAGAATCACCAAACGGTATTCGCTGAAGGTCATTCAGGTTTACGCACCAACCTCGGCACATCCCGATGAGGAGGTGGAGGAAATGTATGAGGATATTTCCAGAGCCATACATTCCTCCAAAACCTACTACACGGTGTTGATGGGAGACTTCAACGCAAAACTGGGCACAAGAGAAAGCGGTGAGCTGAAGGTAGGGAAATTTGGAGTAGGGCAACGGAACCGAAGGGGCCAGCAGCTGGCCGACTTTATGGAGAAAGAGGGACTCTTTATGATGAACTCTTTCTTCCAGAAGCGGCCCCACAGGAAGTGGACCTGGTCGAGCCCCGACGGTTCGACAAAAAATGAGATTGACTTCATTATGACGACCAGACGCCAACTGTTCAGTGATGTCTCAGTGATCGCAAGGGTGAAAACTGGCAGCGATCACCGAATGGTTAGAGGCACACTGAACCTAAACGTTAAGTTGGAGAGGTCTCGTCTAATGAAGTCAACGCTCCGTCCCCCTCGTGCTCTAATCCAGAATCCCGAAACCTTTCAGCTCGAGTTACGTAACCGCTTCCAGTGCCTAGAAGATTGCAATGCAGTGGACGATATGAACGACAAGCTCGTGGAAACTGTCCATGCGGTCGGAGCTAAGTTCTGCAAGACCCGCCGCAGAAGAACACAAAAACTCTCCGATCACACTCTTAATCTCATGGCTGTTAGACGGGAGATGAAGCTGCAATCGTCAACAGATTTGACAGCATACAGGCAACTGAACAGACAGATCTCCAAATGCATACGGCGAGACTTACGCAACTTTAATACTTCTCGTATTAAAGAAGCGATCGAGCGGAACCAGGGCTCCAAAGTCTTTGCCAGAGATCTGTCTGCCAGAAAGAGCCAACTGTCAAGGCTGAAGACTGAGTGTGGCAACATCGTTTCCGGGACACCTGAGATTTTGAGTGAGATTGAGAGGTTCTATGGGCAGCTGTACACATCATCGTTGGAGCCACACGCAAGTGTGAGTAACGATCCAAGAGCAAGTCTTATCCGACACTATTCCGATGATATCCCGGACGTCAGTCTAAGCGAGATTAGAATGGCTCTCCAGCACCTTAAAAACGGCAGGGCCCCAGGCGAGGATGGAATTACAGCGGAGCTTCTGAAAGCGGGTGGAACACCGGTACTTGAAGTCCTTCAGAAGCTCTTCAATTCCGTCCTCCATGGTGGCACTACTCCAGAGGCGTGGAGTAGAAGTGCGGTGGTCTTGTTCTTTAAGAAAGGCGACAACGCTCTCCTAAAGAACTACAGACCGATTTCCCTTCTGAGCCGCGTCTACGTGCTGTTTTCGAGAGTCATTACGAATCGTCTCGCACGCAGACTTGACGACTTCCAGCCTCCCGAACAAGCCGGTTTCCGAAAAGGCTTCAGTACCATAGACCACATACATACCCTGCGGCAGATTGTACAGAAGACTGAAGAGTACAATCTGCCACTTTGCCTGGCGTATGTGGACTATGAGAAAGCCTTTGATTCCGTCGAAATTTGGGCGGTGCTACAGTCCCTTCAGCGGTGCCAAGTTGACTGTCGGTATATCGAAGTGCTGAAGTGTTTGTACAGTAGGGCTACGATGGCTATCCGAGTACAGAACCAGAGCTCGAAACCTATCCAACTGCAGAGAGGTGTAAGACAGGGTGACGTTATATCCCCGAAACTCTTCACCGCTGCATTGGAAGACGTTTTCAAGCTACTGGACTGGAAAGGATACGGTATTGACATCAATGGCGAGTACATCACTCACCTTCGATTTGCCGACGATATAGTCCTTATGGCAGAATCGCTGGAGGACTTAAGCACTATGCTCAATGACCTCAATAGTGCCTCCCAACGGATAGGTCTTAAGATGAACATGGACAAAACAAAGATCATGTTCAATGTCCATGTCACACCTATGCCGGTAGTTGTTGGGAGCACTATGCTCGAAGTTGTTGACGAATACGTTTACCTGGGACAAATAGTCCGACTAGGTAAGTCCAACTTCGACCGAGAGGTCAATCGACGGATTCAACTCGGCTGGGCAGCGTTCGGGAAATTACGGCATATCTTTTCGTCAGGTATACCTCAATCTCTAAAAACTAGATTGTACAACCAGTGCGTGTTGCCAGTGATGACTTACGGATCTGAGACGTGGTCCTTCACTGCTGGCCGTATGAGGACGCTTAAGGTCGCTCAGCG